GGCGGAATGTTGGACACTTGACCGGTCACCAGGAGGAGGGACGGCATGCAACAACCTAGAGTGGGGCACCTAGTGTGTCGCAGGGCGCACTGACCTGGGACGGGTCGAGGGTGATATCAGGGAGAAGGTTCAGACTGGCGACGGCCTGGCAGGTGAGCTGCTGGAACAGACTCATGGCCTGCAGCGGGCGCTGCACCAGCATCTCCGCCAACTCATCTGGCAGACAGACATATCCTGGCCAGCTGCCCACTCACTACAGCGCATTTTACGCCAGTTATGACTGACATGACATGATGAAAACGCATGTACACAAATACTAACAACAAACAGCATTAACATGAAAACATGATCAAAAAGTGACAACTACATCAGGGAACCGCGTGCGAAAATGGCCGGCAACGGACGCGGACACTCTGTACTGATAGCGACATGGCATTGAATGCTGATGCGTTCTGTGTCCGTTACTGTAGTTTATTCCAGACATGTTAGTTTTGTCTTATCTGACTATTGTGACAACATTTATTTGAAAACGTCGCACACAATCAAGGCTTCGGAAAATCGGAGACGCCACTCACAGCACAGGTCGAGGGTGTGCACGAGGTCGGCGCGTACTGTGACGGGCAGCAGCAAGAGCCGCGGCCGCGCGTCGGCCGCCTCCCACGTCAGCTCGGCCACCGTCTCCTGCAGCTGTGCGAACCAGCGCTGCTCGTCCAGCAGGCGGACAGCGGCCGCCAGCAGACTCATCGCGCCGCTGGGCAGCCCCGCTGGTCACCTGCGGAGCGGGAGCAGCAGCTCAGAGGAACTCCACTTGTCAGCGAGAGGTGGCTGACACACAACGTGATGATGTAGCTGGGCTGGTGTGCATTTGAACGATGCCTTGATGAATCGGGGCAGGAACCACAGCTTGTGCGTGATGGCACGTCAGATGAATGCAAGGTTACGTAGTTTTCTTTAATCGTTTTTTTCGTTTGGAACTAATTTTTCACCCACTGAGATTTGGTGTAGAAGGAAGAAAATTGAGTGCAGCACTTTTTCAGTGACAAAAACAAAATGAAAATGCCACCACAGGCCACTTTACAAAGAAAGGCACCCAGTGGCTTGAGCAACTCAAGCCAGGGGATAAGAGCGTAATTTCGCGAAATGTGTTGGAGAGGAGGGTGGGGGCTGAACATGAAAAATGGCAAAACCTGCCCCAAAATGCGGACGCTAAAAAGGTTTCTCCAAGTTATCTGGCCCACCTGCCCTTCAAAGCTGCTGGGGCGATGGAGCGGGAAGGGGGGGGGGGGAAGGGGGGGGGCTGAACCGCACCCCGAGCTGAGAGAAAACATCATGGAGAAGCCACAGCATGTTAGTCGTGAAATCTATTTTGTTTTGGCCATGTTCTGATTAATATGAAACACAGACTACACTGCGACAACAGGCACACCTCTCCTTGATACATTTATGACAACGGGACTATTTACGGAAGATGGTTGCGGTCTGTTCAGACTCAATGTTTGTTCACATTGAAAAGCCTTTCTGAGGTCATCACTGGGCTTCGTATTAACGTCTGTTTGTCGCAATATATGTAAAATAACACTTGTAGCTTCGACCCCCCTTGTACGGAGAGCAAATCTATACAACTAAAGATGTCACTAATATGTATATAAAATGCGGCAATGCACCCCATGCACTCATCTTACGCCGCACAGTTCGTCAACGGTTAACATACTCGGTTTTATCGGTTTACCTTAGTTCATTTATTTCGTATTGAGGTCTGTATGGTAAGCCTTTTGCTACATGATTTCTAAATGACTCAAGTCATTCACGGTTTTAAACCAGGCGGTTATTTCTCGCCCTATATTGCCGCAGTTATGACAAATGCGGCTCAATCAATGAATATGTTCTTATCAAGTTAAAAACCACAGACAAACAGCGCAGGTTTCCATGTTTTTAAACGCATTTAACCTCATCGATATCCATCCATGCCATAGATGACTGAAATATAGGCTGCGTCAACTTGTCAAAAATGGCAAGGTTTTGTTTTGCAGCCTTAGGAACATCAGCGCCGTGAATTAGAATATTAAACCATCAGCTGACATATTTGCCGCCCCCGTGTCAGAACCGTCTCAGTGAACCAATAACAAGTTGGGGTGGGGCACCGAGCCTCGAGGTCAGGAGGACCTCACGTGACGTCGTTGACGCTAGGGCGGGTGAGCGAGGCTTGTATCATATACCTAAATTTTTGTGTTTCTGTTTCTGACTGTGATGTATGAATTCCATAGTTACTATTATGCAATAAATATGCATGCCAGTATTGGGAAAACATGACATAAACTTCATTTGGATAGCGCTGTACTTTTGAAAGCTGTTGCATATTGCAGTCATTTGTTCATTATTCAAATCCAGGTATTATCGTTGGAAAAACTGTAAGATAATCATGACCTGGCTTAATATGTGGAACAATTGGCATGACAGAAATGTGAGTTGTGTGATGGATGCTATTTAGTGAAAAGTTAACAATAATAACATTGATATGCATAGGTACCTAATTCATACATAGTGCCTTCTCTGTTCATATGCACTGGGGCTCACAGGAGCATTGGGGAGGAGGGCTCAAGTCAGCATTTAGGATGCTTTAGGCCCCCAAGAATATGTAAAGTGATGCCCCTGGTGTGAGGCTAACATGGGGCTGGATAGCTACTTTGTTTTCTTGCTCAGCACATTTTTCAGTCTTGCATTAATTTTTCCAAGTTCACCTGCTTGCTTTTTAGCACAATCTATGCTCATGGCTGGCTAACAAATATTTATAGCCTGCCAATTACCTAACCTAGACCAAGGTCAATCATCACAAATAGCATTTCCTGTCATACAAGGACAAGGTGGATTTGATTTGTTCATAAGCTTACTGTAGAACATCCTGAATTTGTAAGATATCATTCATTTTTGCACCTGTCATACTAACAGTGCAATTCTCTGATGCATGGTACCAATCTGTAATACAAAAAGGTAGACATTTGCCAGCTAGATTATTATTTTTCTGCATTTAATGGAAGCTCATTTAGTATATTGTCTCCTTCCCAGCTGAATAAGCATGATCAACCATAAGCTTGATTCTACAGGTCTATCCTCCACCATCTTGACCTGCTTTAGTTTTAGGCTTCTCACTAACACTGCTTTACCTATCCTCACATTTGAATTATTTGATATGTAAGCACATGCTGTACCCATTGCTATTAATTCTTACCAGCTTGCAAGCATTGTCCTCTGCATGTCATTAACTCTACTGCATGCTTTTCTCAGTTAGCATTCTTTATTTCTTTGTTCCGTGATCAATCGACCTGTCCGTAGCACCTGGACACACTGGACACCTGGACTTAGCCTGGCATTTACTGTGAAGTTGGATAATTTTGGTACATTCTCTTTAGCCTTGTGTCCCCAAACATCTCCTTGTATATGACAGGGAATTTGCCATTAAAAAGACAGAGTTGAAGTGCAAATAGGCAACTTCTCATTCAAAGTGTCTTCTTGCCATTGTGTTGACACTCATTTGGAAAATGGCAAAAAAAGCATTGGTTGGGTGCATAGGATTTTTCTGCCAATCATTTTGTTGTGTGAGTGCAATGCTCATGCTATGTCTTCAAGAGTACATTCTTCTCAGAAAACAAGCAAGAACCCAGTTTTTATGGAGTTACCCATTTCTGTTCATCTATTTTTGTATATGTTTGTTGGGTGCATTACACCATATGACTCATCTTCAGAGATAATGTGGTTCAGTGTTCTTGAAGCAGAATGGTGTCTATTATTGAATTAACATAACAAGATGAGTAATTTGTATCCTTATATTAATTATAAGGAGCACAACAAAATGTACAGAATGTCAGAGCAGGAACTTGTAGCATATGCTTTTCTATGTGTGTGTTTTGTTTGATCTTGTGATATCAAGCAGGTATTGTCTCAGCTTTATCATTGTGTCCACTGCATTGGTGCATCTGGCCACATCTTCAACACAACCCTGGGTGGTTTTCCAACCTAGCTTTAACAGGGAAGAACAGGAACCATGCTGATACATCAGAAATAATAATAACTGTGCTGTTACATCTAACTGCACTTTTTAGCACCAGGGGTTAGGTGTTAGGGAAAGTGGGAGGGAATGTTGTGGGGCCAATATTTCTATGTGGAAATAACCAAATTGAAATTGTGCCAAAGCCACTTCTTGTCCCCCTCCATCCAGACCAATGCTGAACATCGCTCTGTTCATTCCGAAGAGTGCATAGTATATCATCCAAGTCTATGAACATTACTCAGCCAGAGCATTGCTGTCTGTTCAAAGGGGTGATCCAAAAAATTTGGTCGTCGAAGAAATTTCAAATTTCACAAACTTGTTTTGTCACAAGAGTGGCAGCCATAAACCGGGTCTTGAGCTCACAACATCCAAAACCGAACTCCTTTTCCTTGGCACCCTACATAACAGCCGCGGACTTTCCCCTGTCAGTATACGGGTCGGTGGGGAGGCCGTTCGGGAGAACCTGGCCGTAAAGAACCTTGCGTGTGGTATTTGACCGCCACCTGAGCTGGGACGCCCACGTCAGTGATGTAAAAAAGTGCGTCGACGACCTGATCGGTCTCCGCCGTCAGGCATTTCCTCTCGCACTAGTGCTCCTGACCGTAGTGCAGGGTCTAGTCATCTCGCGCGTGAGATGCTGCAGTTGGGTTTACGGCCAGGGGTCTGGTGTTAATGAGGCTAGACTACTCAAAGTAGTTAACTTCGCTACTAGAGTAGTTACTGGCCTCCGAAAGTATGACCACGTGTCTCGCGCGCGGGATGTCACGCTTTGTCACGCCTCGCCGGATCAGTGGAATACCAACTGTTCGCTGCGCACAAAGTCCGTGAGGGAGGTGAACCCGAAGTCTTATCTGTTTGCTTCAAACGTTCGCTGACGCGCGGACCAGTGACACCTACCCGCACGGACCAAAACCTGCGCCCCCTGGCGGTGCGCACGGTGGCAGGACAGCGGTGTTTTGCATACCGTGCAGCGTGTCTCATTAGTTACCTGTGGATGTTCAACGACTGAATTCGACAAGATTTGATTATGCTGCCAGTAAGCAATAAGCATTTGTTGAGCGATAAGGTTGTCATATGCCGTTTATGCGTGCATGCGTTTGTGTATTTTATCCCTATCACTCTCCATTGTTTTTTACGTACTTTTTACCTCTCACACTAATGACACGTAATAGCCATGTGTGTATGTAGAGTGTCAGTTGATGTCAAATACAAATACAAGTGTGGATCCAAAACTGGTGTGAGCTGCGTATGTTGGGAATATCAGTGCTCGCGTTCCCATCGCAATTTTAAGTCTCACAGGGCAAGGAATATGTGGAAGTGCACATAATCTCATGTCACAAAAAGTAGTATTTTAGTGCTCTTTCAGGTCTTGTTTATGTTCCCGGCTCAAATTATTTTGAAAACAAGCTTCAATGTGTAAGCTGAACTTACACAGATTTGCGACACGGCAGATTCATATCGGCTGTCATACTAGATTACCAGGGTGTTTGCCCCTGTCTCTCCAATTTCGAAATTGGGCTTCGGAAATTTTTGGAATACCAAAAATATGGAATTTAATCGGCACCTTTAATTCACGCCACACATCTGACAGCACTTTGTACCTAAGATAATATTTCCGACCCATCGTTATGCATATTGGTTGGCTCACACTGAACGACGTAGTAGGTTTGGACAACAATAAACAGCGACCTTAAGTGCTGTGCATTTGCGCTTGCATTTAGGTACCCAGTCACTTTGGTTTAATCATCAGATGAAGCTGGCGTCCGTGTTATGCTGCTTAAAAGCTACCAAGCTACTTCTTAACTACTGGCTTATCGTGTTATGGCGTTGCAGGGACCATCTGGAAACATGGTGAAAGATTCTAGCGACAACACCAAGAATGAGCCATCAGTTGATGACACAATTCTGGACATCTGGGAACTGGTCAACAAGATCTTGCAACATCAAACTTTGCTGGAAAGCTGGATGAAAGGTGGATTTTTAAATATTGCCAAAACCAGGTGTGTGGATGGTTCCGGTGCACCTCGTCTGTATGCGCGTGAATTTTTAAGTTAATCACGTTTTGAAGTCTACTGTCGCCTAAGCTCTTTTGTGACTCTTGCATAGGGCTGAGGGGTTAAAGCAACTATGATTCATTAGAACGCGTTTTTTGTAAATGTGATTTATCAGAACACATTATTTGTTAATTGGCAATTAAAGGCTTTAAGTCATCAATGCTCATTTGCGGACGTGATGTGATTTGTTGTTCCGTGATCGGGGAAAGAGGCTGCGCTTGTGATCCGGGCGCACTGGGTGCGAGTCCCAAAGCGTGTTGTTTGGCCCAACTAACATAGAAAGGGTAGCTGACAACAGAGGGTTAAACTGGCCAGGGGTAGCTGTGTTGTGGCATTGTACGGTGGGTAAAACCTTCCGCAAACCCGACTGGCAAAAACAAGGGAAGCAAAATTATATTATTGGAACAATAAGTTTATCAGTGCGCGTCATAGGGTATGCCTAACAAACCCTGCTAACAAGGAATGGAACCGAGAAAAATGAGGCAATCCATTTAAAATGTACTTGTATGAAACGGCGTCTGGCACTGACCTGGCCCCGATCGGCCGTGACCGCAGATACGTGATGGGCCAGCACGCGGTGGGCGTGGAACAGTTGCCGGCCGGTGAGTGTCAGGTGAGCGCGCGACTCCTGGTGGAGCGGTGCCCGAGCGACGCCGACCACGCCGACGCCCAGGCGCCGCTGCCGGCCGCCTTCCGGCTGCGTGAGCAGCCCGCCGACGCTGGCGACGTGAGCGGGAGAGCCGCTGCGCTGGTTCTCGGCGCTGCCGCCAGGGGCGCTGCGCGACGCGCAGAAGCAGTTCCGCCGCGCGCTTGAGATCAGCTGTGACATCGCCACCATGAAGGTACAGCTGGCGGCGCTGATGGCGCGGCTGGACGGCTGTGGGCCGACCGTGGCCGCCCTCGCGACGCCGTCGAGTCCATCTCGGTCAGTTGAGCTCCAGCGGCGGCCTTGTAGGTGCGGTGCAGCCACGCAGCCAGACAGCGTGGGATACGGGTGGGTGCGGCGTCAGCAGGCGCGGGCTATTCGTCAGGCATCCTCGGCGACGTGGCACTGGGGTATTCCATTTTGCGCGTTGCTTCGAATTGTCTCGAGTGCTCCGTGGCCATGAACGGGTGTGTAACTCGCCTTGCGCGAGTTTGGTGGCTGTTGTCGCGTCTCGCCAAACTGCGTGGGCCCATTGTATGAGCCATTCGTGGCACTGGCTGCTTGGTCCCAGTCCTCATCTCGCGCACGGTCCGTAACGGGACCTCTGTCCCAGTCTAGTGTTCAGGACTGGTTCCGGTTGTCGCCCGTGCCCTGGCGTCCTCGTCCCTGGCGTGGTCCCAATGCGAATGGTACTCGGCGCGAGGTCTGGTCTCCATCCTGTTCGCGGTCCTGGCGCGAGTTTGTGATGTGGTGCCCACGGAGTGCTCGGCACCGGTGCCGGTACTGGCCGCTGGTCTGGACCGGTCCTGGTCTTTGACCCAGGTCTGACTCTCGTGCCAGGCCCGGGTCACGGACTGCCAGCCAGTCGGGATCGCGGGCAGGGTATGCACCATGCAGCGCACACAGCGGCCAGGCCCAGACGCGCGTGACTCGTGCACCCCGTTGTAAATCGTGACGGTTCCAGCTGCGGCTACAGGGCTCCACAGCTGCGTGACTGGACGCGACGTTGGTCAGAATGGAGCGGCCTAGACCGGTGACGAGCCGCGCCTGGCACGACTCGCAGAGCTTCCGTCGCTTGCTGGGGGGTCGGAGTGGCTGTACATCGATTGCCTGGTGCCACAGGGCGTGTGGGTCTCTAACTGCGGGTTGTCTGGCGGCATTTGGGTAGGTTGTGCCGATGTAGCGTGGTGTTATTTAGCGCGCCCTCCTGCGGGGTGTGCCACGTGGAGGTACATCACCGTAACTGAGCGGAGTAGTCCTACTACGAATGTACTTCCGCTAGTGGGGTTCTTGCTCACGGCCGGGAATGATCAAGACGGCCTGAGGAAGGGTTCGGGGAGTGGTGACGCATCATCGATTGCGACAGGAATCGTTCCCATGGACGACTTCTGACCGGCACATGAATGTATATGTAAGCGTGCGTGTTACGTGTGTGTGCTGTGTCGACGTATCTTTCACACTTCTGTAACTAGGGACGCTTTTCAATACACTGACAAGGGGGATTTGTGCTCCGATCATAGGCGCTGCGGGTGCGCACGAGACACGGGGTGCTGGAACCGTCGTCTTCTCTGCTGCGTTACCTTACTTCTTAAGCCCGCAGAACCGCAGTTCTTGTGTTTGCTGCGTGCCGAGTGGCATGCTCTCTCGGTGTATGCCGTGTGTCAACGCTTCGGTCTGTAAATGCCACAATGTGATCACAGTAGCCAGCTTTCAGCAACAATCTGGACATCGTTTTGATGGGGCAGGCCAGGCGAGCTGTGAGGAAGACAATGACTGCTTCAGATTTTGAGTTGTTGACACGTGGCTTTCGGCTGTCAGTGGCGGAGAATATTGACGCAAACATGTACATTCATTGTTACTGTGGTGCCTTGAGGACCGGGATGGGAAGCGAACTGAGAATTTCCGCTCAAGCGTGAACAGTGCAAGTCCTATTTACTGTTCAAAGTCTGACTGGGGCATTTCCTTTCTACGAAACTTTTAACTTGTCCATTCCTCAAGCACGTGAAAAGTTGTGATGCCTGTACGAACCCCATGCGAGCTGTGATGCCACATTGGGGGTTTTGGTCATCCGCAAAAAGTAATCAGTAATGGCGTCCCGCTGAGGAATTGCTGGCCGTTTAGAAAATCTCTGCGTTAGTTCCGACTGACGACTTGATGCGAAGATGTTGCAATTTCCAAGCTGTGTCTGCGTTTGGCTTATGCCTCCCATTTCCTTTATATTCGTGTGCGTCATACACAACATTTGGTGGGAAATCCAAAAGCGAAATCATAGTGCGGGTAGTTAAGCACTCGCCAATGCATGGTGACGGGTCACCTACCACATGATGACCAGACATCTGGGTGCCTCCTATAGGG